GAGGAGATACATTTTGAAATTTTTGTATCATCAGCGAATGAAAGTATGGTAGAATTGGTCACGAAGAAAGGTAGATCAATTACAAACATGATGAACAAAGTAGCGCCAATTGGATATCCTTGACCCGTCCCAGATGTAACTTTGATTGGGTCAGATTTGGTATCTGCTATCTTTACAATTTGTCTGCGACCAGACAAGTAAGATTCGATCCATTTTAACAGCTGCTCATTCAGTCCCATGATTTCTAGTTTTTGAATAAGCAATTTTAAGTTGACGAGTCAAAAGCCTTGGCTATGTCCAAATAGATGGCGTCTGTTTGATGTCCTCTCCCCATGTTATGTTATTGTTTTTGAAGTAAATTCAACTAAATTTGTTATCGTTGACCTGTTCTTTATGAATCCATGCTGACTTTCGTGTACTATGTTCTTCAAATATAGATTGAGATGGTTTGTGACGATCGAATCGAGAATTTTTGACAAAATACACTGTAAAGCAACACCTCGGTAATTTTGAACGTTGTTTCTATCGCCATTCTTGTAAACTGGTCTGACAAATGACGTTCTCCATATCTGCGGGACAGAGGCAGTTTCAAGCAGTGTTGGGTAAAGATATTAGATAAGATGAGATACCAGATAAGATGCCAGATAAGATGATATCTTATATCTTATCTTATCTTTGACGAATATATCTCATCTTATCTAGATAACTAAGTTTTCTTTCGATATCTTGGTGGTATATTTAGATCTTTTTAAGATATTTTGAGATTTTTACGAAAAAATTCAAAAAATTTTGGAAAATATATCTTATCTGCTTATAAAATTATTTATATGAAAAGATAATGAAATTATCTAGATACTTTTGAATATCTAGATACTTAGAGTTATCTAGATACTTTTGAGTATCTAAAGTCCAAAATCTTTGTGATTTTTTCTGCGTAAAAATATCTTTGAAAGTATCTAAGATACACCCAAGATATTATCTTATCTTTGCGTTTTTTAAGATAAGATATGGTATCTTACCTAGATAAATTTTTTGCAAAACTAAAAAAATCTCATCTTATCTAGATACCAAAAATTTTACAATTACCCAACACTGGTTTCAAGTGATTCTTTTAACAGTGTTGAGATTGGACCCTGCAATGAAATCAAACAATGCTTGATAAATTTTTTTGGAATTTCATCAGGACCACAGACAAGATCATCTGGCAGCATGCTTATATGTTGACCTACAAGCTCCTCGGTTATTTCGATCATTGATATTTCAGCACAAATATCACGTATTTTTTCTATTTCTGAACTTTCATATCGCAGATCACCTTCTAAAGAGCTGTAAGCGTTGCCAAAGTGTTTTGCAAAAACACTAGCAATTGTTAATTGATCGCTTGCTTTTTCATTCAAATAAGTCATCTCATGTGGTAGATCTTCACTTTTCCCTTTTTTGAAATTTACGTGCTTGAAAAATTTCTTTGGATCATCATCTATCTGTTTCTCCATCTCTATTCTGTAATCTCTGATAGCAGAGCATAATTGGACATGAGTTTCTATTGTTGACTTAATAATTTTATAAAAATTATTCATTCTTAACTCTAATTAATTTGTATCAAAAACATTATGCCAATCTACATCAAGAAACGACTCATTTATTTGTTTATAGTCTGCATTTATAAAGTCGCGATATGTTTTTTTTGTTTCAATGTTTTAGATGACTTGCTCATTATATTTGATTTCGATTGCATTGTGGTGCTTTTCAAAATTCAATAAATGAAAGTCACTCATGGTGCAATGAAACTGCTCAACATCATTTGTCCAATTGTCCGACCATTTTGGTTGTAATTCTTGTTAATCTGTTGAAGTCCCAATTCATAACATCCTTTTCATTCAACTTTGAAGCTAGTTCTTTCAAAGCATACATGTTGTAATATTTAATGAGTGGTCATATAAATGTAAAGGAAAGACGTTTTAACGTTCATGGGTTGATGAAATCAAAGTAATGTGCTGTATGTGACAATCGAGAGACAGATGTTAAAAATATATACAATTCAGTGTATACTCTTTTTGTACAGAATGTACTCAGTGAAATGCAACAAGATTAAAGTTTTGCAGTATTAAATTTCATAAGTTGTTAGTTTTTCTCTGTGAATTCTTTGCCGATAAATATTGTTTGAAATGTTTTCACTTTGAAATTGACATTTGTTTGAATAACACAATCCTAAAACCACCACTCTTAATTCTAAATTATTATAGCAATGCCGAAAATAAATCTGGAACAACAACCACGATGTTTGATCTTATCTAATTTGCCAAGAAGTCTGACCCGCAAAAATTTAAGAAAAAAAAAACACGAACATTAGTGATCGTCTTTTGTACTGAAAAAAATAAAGTTCACACTGAATTCGATTAATTAATTCGATATTTAATACATTTGAAATGTAAGTTCGTTAAGAAATGAATATAATCCAAAATACAAATAGCTGAAATAAAATGTAAACAGTGTACCAAAATAGCGTGCTTTGATTTATTCTCATTAGATTTGATTTAACAGCAGATTTTCAGTTTTTTTTCAGTTGGATTTAAGTTAAATTAGCATTTACAAATTGAGATGTAAGTATGTTGTCGGTCGGTATGAAAGGACATGTCTAGGTAAAAGTGCTTTTTTTCTAATCTAAATGCTTCCGGTGAAACAATAACAGACTAAGTAGTCACTTTGCTTTAAGGTAAGAAAATAGGAGCCATTACAATTTCTCGAGCATATGCGTGAGTGTGATGCATCAATCGATGGTGCATTCTTCTTGAATTTCATTTGTCAAGTCGATTGACAACGAAAATTACTCACATCTTTTTTATGTACCACTTATTCAACTCACGCAATTCACATTTGTCGTTTTTTTCTTACATCTCTTCCCAGCCAAAGATCGTAATTGATGTTTTATCTACCTGTTGAACTAGAAGTCAAGTAAATTAATCAAATCAAAAGTACCATCAAAGTTAGTCTTAATCGAACGTATGGGTGATGATATTCACTTGGCATTTCGGGCAATTGTCGATTTTTCGGCTCTTTTATACTATTTATAAGGAATATACGATAATTGGTGGTCATTACAGCAACGCCTGTCCCTGAATTTGATGTAAATATTTTGGCATCGATGACTTTTGTGTTTATGACTTTTTTTTGCTCATAACCATTTCAACAACGATACAATCGAATGAAAATTAAAAGAATCACCAATAGATGGCGCATCGTCTATTGGTCATTGTTTCAGATTGAATTAATTATGCGCAATTACATACACATACACATACACAGTAGCAGCTAGTTTGTCGGCATCGTTATTACGAAATGTCAAATGATCTTTCGCATTTACACAGCGAACTCCAATTGGATTAGTTGAAATAATTTAGTCTCAAAGGCGGAAAAAAACCGTAATTAATTTTTAGTGTGCTCAAAATCAGATAAAACACAATAATTATCGAATTAGTTCATATTTTGTCGTGATTCCAAACAAATTGATAACAAATTGGAAAATATTCTAAACTTTAAAAAACGTATTTGATAATTTCATCATCTAAACGATCAAAGAAATTGAGACGCAATTGTCAATCGGACCAACGGAACAATTTTTCAATTTTTCCTGTGCATTAATTCATCAAAGTCCCAAAATAAATCAGGTAAATTCATGTTTAGTCGTGTTTCGAAAATAAATTATCGCTATTGATGAGTATTTCGGCACGTGTTCAATTTTTTCTTTGCTTTTTGAAGTTTGGTTATGTTCTGTTCCGCTTGTTTGTTGTCCAAGATCTTTCTTCGATATTGTACGAATATGTATCGATTTGTTTCTATTTTTTCCGTATTTTATAATTAAGGATGCGTCCGAAGCGTACTTGCGTTAATGAAACGAATGAAAGAATTCGAATATACTCTGAATGGGCCAATTCGCAGCGCCAAAGACAACCAATGAATAACGCATCGGCCAATAGCCAACAAACTGAGCCGACACAAAATCAAGACGAAGAAGAAGAAGAGAA